GCATCCCAGGACAAAACAAGCAAGAATTTTCATTTCCTAGCTCTACCAGAGAGCAGTGAGCACAAAAAGGGATTGAAATTTTTTCTTTTCCCTCTTTTATTTTCAAGAAATTGAGTGAATATTGTTTTTTATGAAGTATTTAGTTACAATTATAAAAACTACTGCTATTTAAAAAATTTTAAGTAACTTCTCTGTTTCTTAAATGAAGTAAGTTTAATTACATTTAGTTATTTCTTTAAAAATTGAATGCAACAAAACATTCTTCTCCCTTTTTGCAACATTATTGTCTCAACACCCACAACAAAACATGAGGCAGCAGCATGAATAATCAACTGAATTAAGTGACATGTCTATTCTTCTACTGAATATGGCAATAGCTCTGCAATTATAAAGCAACTAAAAAATTAGAACAAGGAAAAGGAGGTGTGGTTGCCAAGATTACACAACAAAATAGAGTTATGCTACCGAAGAAGTAAACCTACAGTCCTAATGTTTAATAAGAATAAGAATAAGAATAAGAATATAAAGATGAAGATGAAGATGAAGATGAAGATGAAGATGAAGATGAAGATGAAGATGAAGAAGAAGAAGAAGAAGAAGAAGAAGAAGAAGAAGAAGAAGAAGAAGAAGAAGAAGAAGAAGAAGAAGAAGAAGAAGAAGAAGAAGAAGAAGAAGAAGAAGAAGAAGAAGAAGAAGAAGAAGAAAGTGGCTGTGTGGTCCCCCACACAATAAAAATGTCTTAATGTTTGTCGCTGTACCTTAGTTACTGGCAAACTGAATTTCAAGTAACTATTTATTTGTAAACAATTAGATCGAAGCTCTGACCATGAATGATACTATCTCAGAAGCGGACCACTTCCTGTAACAGAAGCAAAGGTTTTCACTTTCCTTTTAAATCATCATTAAATATACAAGCAGCCAGAAACTGGGCCTACGATTGTGGAAAAGCAGCAACAGAAGCATGCAAATTTGTCCACCACAGAAAATCAAGTAGTGAAGTGATTCATTGGAAATCCAGCTATTTTCTAGGTAGGCCAGTTGCTTCCCAATCCACACTACAGTATATTTGTTCAGTTAAACTGGGATTTCTTTCTGCAGAGATATGGTGTGCCGCCTTCTCTCCCAATTTTCTTTACAACTACCCTTCTCCAAAACTTTTACATTTTACTAGTACCCTGCTACCTCATTTATACCAATTTCATTCTTCTTATTTCTTCTTGCATTGGCTTCTACATATTTCTCTCTTCCTCTGTCTCCTGCCTTCTGGGACTGTCTGACAACATCAGCCTGTTTTTACTGTCTGCTCTCTGGTGAGATATTTCCCCTTCCATTTTCCTTAAATTTTCTTTCTTCCCTGTGTTAATTCTTCATGTTGCTGCCTCCAATTCCAGTCACTTTTAAGACCTTCAGACGTGTGAGCAAAATTGGTATGGTATGTTAAGTGAGCAGACCAACTGCATCCACCTACGGCTACATCGTGGGGCAATTATGAAAACATTTTGTGGTAAGTAGTATATTAAATGAAATGGGAAGTGTCTTAGTCTTGCTGTAGAAACAAGGAAGAAAAAGAGAAAGAAGGAGAGAGAGAAGAAAAGAAGGACTAGAAAGAAGTTAGGAAAACCACAGTAAGGACTGAAAATAAGGGCCTGCTCCCAAATGGGTAGGCACAACACTTTTGAACTGGTTGGGTGGTTTGGGGAAAAAAAAGCAAAAGGTAAAGCCATTTAAGCCTCTGTACTAAAAATCAGCCTGAAGATTTGGCTTATGCAGCCTTTATCCAGGAAAGGGAGGGGGGAGCCTGACATCTAGCCAAGCCGAAAACATCAGCAAAGATATTTCTTAAACCTCTCAGTTCTGCCCTGTCATTTGAGGTGGGGGGGGAATCCTATTTATTCTTTCAAAATCTAAAACCAGTTCAAAAGTGTGCAGATGCAACTATGACTTTTTTTAAAAAAGTGAAACTAAGTACAACTTGCATTTTTACACAGAAGAGAGAAGGCCATTCCCTAGCTTCATGACAGAGCATAGCAGAACGCCCCAGTTTCAAGGATCTCCTAGCAGGTGATCAGAAAGGCTTTTGCCCAGGTTCTGGAGAAATGCTGTCCGTCAGAGCAGTTACCACTTAAGAAGAAGGAGAAATGGACTTGAAAGCAAGTCAGCCTTAAACCGTCCCAGTGTGCAAGGTGCTTACAGAGGAAAGGAGGGAGACTGGCATAAAAGCAAAATGATGCCTAATCAGAGAGAGAGAGGTGAAAAGTACATTTTTGGGAAAACAACTCAGAGGCTGGAAGGCACCAGGAAGCTGCATTAAAGTAGGCTCATTGACTCATGGGAACTTACACAGGCCTTGACTCACCAAATCCTCAATGATTCAATGGATCTACTCTTAGTTGTGGCTTATTACTGGATTTTAGCCACAGAATACTCCATGAGACCATTCCAGCTGGCCAGGATATTCAGGGAGGTGCATCTGGTGAAGTTCTGTTGCCTAGTTAAGCAATCAAATTCACCCCGCTCATACACTTGTCCGGGGGGAAAGGAGTGGACCTTTTGCAAGGGCCTCTGTTCTTGCATACTTCCGACCTGCACACAGAAATCCCTCGTGCACTATGTCCCAGTTAATGTGTTTGAGAGCCTCCAGTGCCAGAAAGAAATCAATACAGCTGCAGCAAAGGCTGGCCATACAGTGCAAGGCCTTGGCTGGCTATCTGACGAGATCAGCCACCTTAACTTAGCTGCCTAGATATGGGAAACGAGGAGGGGGCTGGGGCAGAGAGTAAGATTCTGATAAGCCCACTATGAGCCAAACATATTGTGTAGCAGGAGGCAGATTTGAAGTAATGGATATATGTGCGCAAAATTTACATGGAGCCATAGGTTAAAGCCATATGAGTTCACCATTCATGGCTGCAAGATAATTGTCAAAAGCTAATGGCTGCACATTACTCACTCACTCTCTGGGGGAGGGAGAGCGAGTGAGCATGGATCTCTGTGTAAGAAAGCATGTATTCAGGCAAGATCCTTATTTGTTAAAAGAAAAATAATCTGGGGCCTCTAAAAGTGGCAGGCATTTATTTACAATTTCCACTCCGAAAACAAAGTAGTGCTGGAGAGCCCGCACTTGAAAAGTACCTTGCAATCTTTGCCACAGGCGTGCTGGAATTCCGTTTTTGTGCAGTGGGTGTGTTCTACAGAAGTTTTAGCTATTTTAGGACAAAAGAGAAGGAGTGGGTGCATGGGAGAAAGAAAGAAGATTGTTTGGAGTTATTTAAGAAAACAGTGTTTTAGCCAGTAAGGCAATAACCCTGCTAAATTCAATCTTCTCTTATTTAATAAGTGTTCCAAAGGATTTGGTTTCTAAGACAACCCCCACCCTCCTTTATTAGTTTTAAATGCACTATTTAATGAGATTCCTTTTATTAAATGGATGCACGTTGTTTCAATTTTGCCAGTTAGAAATGATGCCCATGAATTACTCTTTTTATATTTGCACAAACACCAACTACCTTTCAAGAGTAGGGATTCCACTAAATAAAAACGTGTATACTGTGAAGG